TGCATACACCCCAGGCAGATCTACTGATTCAGCCCTTCATCTAGTTGCTGGCCGGATAGAAAGATCCCTGGACAATAAGGAGTCCGCCTTGGATATTTTCATAGACACAAAAGTAGCTAAAACCACCTTCCCAAAGATAATACACTCACTAACCAACAGGAATGTTCCACAAATGGTTAGTGGGTGGATACATAACATGCTCTCAAAGCGAGCAGTATAGAAGATATGAATATAAGAGGCTTGGTTGCGAGAGGATGTCCACAGGGAGGGGTGTTATCACCTCTACTGTGGAATATGGTCCTCGATACCCTCATCAGCCGCCTCAATAAGGACAGTCACTACACAATAGCATATACAAATGACCTGGTCATTCTGCAAACAGGGAATTTTGAGAACATACTCTGCGAAAGAATGCAAGTAACTCTAAAAATTATAGAACAGTGGTGCAAGGACCATTCAGTGTGTGTCAATCCTAAGAAGACAGAAATGGTCCTTTTTACAAGGAAAGGATGAAAATGGAATTAAAACCTTCAGAACTGCTAAACACGAAACTAAACTTTGCAACAGAGGTGAAGTACCTAGGTCTCACCTTTGACAGCAACTTAACAAGGAATTCGCATTTAGAAAACAGTTAAAAGAGCATATATTACTTATGAACAATGCCGCCGAACCGTGAGGCGCACCTGGGGTTTCTGCCCCAGAGTCATCGCATGAACTTACACGGCTATCATAAGACATATGTTAACATACGGTGCAGTTGTCTGGGTACCGAAAACCCATATATTAACAGCTATCCGTAAACTAGAACAAATTCAAAGAACAGCATGACTCAACATAACAGGAGCCATGAAAAAACACCGACTAGAGCCATGGAAGTTATTCTTAGTCTCACTCCCCTTGATATATACATCAAAGAGGTTGCTCTGGCGACAATGACATGCCTCCGCACTGCTGAAATAGAACCTGATGTAGGATCTGGTGAGGCGAGACGTCGCTTTTGGCAGGAGGCGCTTAATACGCTCCCATTGCTTCAAGCGAACATGGACTCCATCTCATCGAGATATATCTTCCATAAGCCATATAAAGTTATAATAGAACAAATAGAAGAGCCAGAAGTGGCAGGTACGATTCATATATACACCGACGGTTCTAAAACAAAACAAGGCTCAGGATGTGGAATATATTCCAGATTTTTAAACCTAAACATAAAATGGGCTGTGAGCAATAGTGCAAGTGTAGTTCAAACAGAGTTACAAACAGAAACAATATCACTGGAAGGAACATGCTCATCTATACAGATAACAGACAAGCACTACTAACCATAAACACACCACGAATTTACTCAGGGTTAGTACTAGAATGTCACAAAGCTTTAGCTAAAGTATCCATCAACAATGTGGTCACCTTAAGATGGATCAAAGGTCACGCCACGTCGAAAGTTAACCGTCTTGCTGATTCACTAGCAAAAAAAGCAGCCAACCTTATACTTTTTGGACCTAACCCTTCTATTGACCTAACAAAATCGGAAGTGACAGACCTAATTAAAGAACATTCCATTGTAAAATTCAAGGAAAGATGGCATGAAACAAGAAGTTGCCAGATAGCTTTTAAGTTATTCTGACAAAATTGCAGCAAACAAATACTTGACTATGACTAGACAGAATCTGCGCCTAGTCACAGGCATTCTGACTGGTCATTGCCAAGTACGGAAGCATCTCCATACCATGGGGCTGTCAGAATCTGCACTCTGCAGAGGGTGAGAACAAGCAGATGAGACCATCGAGTATATCCTTTACGATTGCTCGACGCTCTCATTTATTAGAAGATTTGTGTTCAGCGAGTATCGGCCGATATAAGAGAAGCACTTCTTGGCGTCGTTGTCAACTACATTAAACCTGTAGGCTGGCTCATGAGCTAAGAGGTGCCAATCATCTTAGGAGGATGCACAATGGGTCTAATGAAGCCTAAGTATCGTGAGGGTAACCCACCTTCTACACGTTACAGATACAGATGTTACTTATATATATATAATTTTAGATTAATTGTATTATTAGTTTTTTGTCAAATTTGAATTACCTAACCTCACAAATGTGTGAAATGTATTTAATATCTAAATTTAAATAATGCAACTTCTTACAAAAGTATGGTTATGATATACAAAAAAAGCTTACCTTTACTACTTTATGAATTGTTCAAAAGGTTTCCATTGTGTTGTAAGCAAAAGTATATCCGATATTCAAATCGTTCTCGGACGTGTTGAAGAGTCTTAGGTGAAATAGCTCTACATTATTGTACAATTCTTTGTTTCAGTTGTTCAATTGAGTCTGGTTGGGTTTTGAATACAACTGATTTCAAGTGACCGCATAGGAAAAAATCCAGCGGTGTCAGATCTGCTGACCTAGGTGGCCATTCTATGGGTTTTCTCTTACCAATCCACTGCTCCTGATAATGATTAGTCAACCATTTTCTTACTGGGCGTACATAATGAGAAGGTGCTCCGTCCCGTTGGAAATACAGCAAATGTAGCAAATGTTCATCTAGAGCAAGATTTCCATTGGCGTCTCTTTGATCTTTCACCTCTTGAATTATACAAGGTTCTATAGCTCTATCCAATATTTCGGCATAAATTTGACCGTTTAGATTTTTATTTATGAATAGAATCATAGTATTGCCTAATATACCGGCCCAACATTTTTTTTTTTTTTGAGGATATTGCATGTGCCCCTCTCTAATAATGTGTGGGTTTTAAGTCGCTCCAATAACGGCAGTTTTGTTTCCTGATATTTCAGTAAAAACTACATTCGTCACTGAAACAGATAGTTGTTATTAACATGGACTGATTAATATTCCTGTTGGTCATAATTTTGCAAAACTCAATACGTCTGTCTGGGTCATTATCCCCTAATTCTTGAGTGATTAACAGTTTGTATTGATGAAATTTATGAAGCTTTCATACTTTTCTGACGCACTCATGCGACAGTCCAGTTGGGTGTACAACTTCACGAAGGGTCGTAGTGGGAGTCACAGCAACTTGACCAAGAATCTCAATCTGAGTGGCCTGATTGAGCAATCTTGGCCCATTCCTTTTCTTATTACATGCAAACGGATCCATTTTTTGTATCGGAATTGGCTGTTAGGTATTAATTTTTGTTTGGTCAGCCAAGACTCTTTGATTATGCGTTCTAACGTTTTCAAAACACAAGATAACAAAGGTAACGGACGAAATTGATGAGTTGATAACCGACAAATACCATCTTTTATTAAAGCCAATAACAATGGGTTTTCTCTTACCAATCCACTGCTCCTGATAATGATTAGTCAACCATTTTCTTACTGGGCGTACATAATGAGAAGGTATTCCGTCCCGTTGGAAATACAGCAAATGTAGCAAATGTTCATCTAGACTTAAACTTTTCTTTAAACTATATAAATAACACTAGCCCTGGATTTGACAAAATAAAATATTCCATGTTGATAAATTTGCCTCCCTCAAATTTAGATATTAAATACATTCCTCACATTTGTGAGGTTAGGTACTTCAATTTTGACAAAAAAATAATGCAATTTATCTGAAGTAAATAACACAAAAATTGTAAAAGAAATAGGGTTGCGATTTAAAATTTTAGGAGTAGGTGCCCTGGGGATCGGGGGTTGAACGTAATACGACAACAAATGCCTCAACAATTATCTTCCTTTATATGCAAATTGACGTGTTGTTTCGCCAAATTTTTATACTATCATTGGTAGAAAAAATATTAAATGATGTTCGTTTTCAAATTGACAACCTGTTCTTGAAGTTAGCTCAACACACCGGTAATGATTAGCAATAAAAATATTGTTGGACTTTAGAGATAGTTAAGGATATTAAAAAAAATTTACACCTGCATGCATATTAGCTATTCTACAAAACGAAAAAGTATGACATTGCGTTCAACTGAACGAATACATTTCATAACCATTCTAACTAGTAAGAATACTGCACAACTATGAAATCCACCAGTCACAGTTGATATTTTTGTTTTGGTCACCAGGCTACTATTATTTTAAAATTTTAAATGACAATTCTGTCAAATCAATTGTCAGTATGTTTGTTAGTAATGCGCTAGTTCAGTGATGATGTAATTATGGTTCCACTGACAATTAAAGTGACAGTAGATTTTTTGAGTGCGTTTTGTTCGTTTTTTTACCTAAATTATATCGTTTTTTTTTCACTTTTATAAATATATTCCTAAAGTAAGTAGATAGCATGTATCAAATATAAAATCATTTAGTTACCAATTACATACCTTTAAACTATTTTTTATGACTTGTAAACAATATTTTGAAATAAAATAAAAACAGTAAAAACGTATATGTCAAATTTATTAATATTTTTGTTAAAAGTTTGGTTAGAATTAAATGGAACCAAAATGACATCACACTGAACTAGCGCATTGAAATTAAAAATACATTAAAATGAGTTATTCTTGTGTAGAAACGATAAATAATAGAATAGCTATTTTTATTTTGTCTATATTTACAAATAAATTATAAATTTTAATAAAACTATATGAAAATTTAATTACGGGCATTAAAACTAAAAATTTTTGGTGTGTCAATGCATGACATAATATTTTCTAAATTAGTAAAAGTCACAAATTATTTTTAAATTAGTTATTTTATCTTAATGGCCTAAATTAAATTTTAAAATTTGTAGATTTTCGTTAGTGAGTCGTAGAAAAAATATACTGTACAACTCAAGTGGATTATCCATATCGTACTCAGACGATTGAGAACTCCGCCTATGGCGTCATGTTAAACTTCGTCTTCGTGCGATATAGCCATCATATCCACCACTCTTGTTGCACAAACTAGTATTTCAATAGATTTATCATTGTTACTTATTTAATTAACATTCCACCGAGCACTGTTACATACTAAGAAACTTCACAACTCGTTAAAAACCTTCTAAACTAACATCGAATAATCTACAAAATTCTATAGAAAACTTCTAAACTCACCTCCCATGCTAATCGGATGTCGGTCTGGCAGCTGGACAGCTACCCCGAATCCCCCTAATTTAACGGGGGCCGAATTTTCTTTGGTGGCCAATAGTATGCTTTCCGGCTTGATATTCCTGTGCACTATGTCGTTCTCGTGGCAGTACCTTAAGGCTTCCAGGATTTGTCGCATGTAATGGCTAAAACAGAAATGGAAAGTTTACAGTATCTTCTATTGAAGTCAAGTCAGTTAAGCAGTGTTTGCTCCGGTTACATGTAGAACGAAGGAATAATAAGAGGAGTTATAATGACTTAGCTTTTAACCATCTAAGAGTTGGGTAAGTGAGACAAAGAATGAATATGAATACATGTTTATCGAAAATGGGTTATACAGGGTGTTTTTGAAATTATTGGAGTATTAAACGCTTGTAAATGTAAGTTTATGTAAGATCTAAAAAGAGCTAAAAACCTAAACGTAGGAAGTCAATTAAAATATTAATTTAGGCTATAGTCTGTGTTAAAATAACTAATAGCTTTATTTTATCTATAAATAAAAATAGGCGTACGTCAAAGTTACTTTCTGTTTAAGAACGCCAATAATGTCAGATTATAACAGCTTGCAAAAAACATCAACTTTGCAGTTACTTTTCAAGGCGCAAAAGTCTACTTTAGATAGTGATCGTAGAAAAATATTATTATTTGCTATGTTGAGTTATCTTATTTCCCAAATTAAAATTGGGAAACTACTGCCTAAATGTTAAGACCCTCAAAGTTTTCCTGGCCTCAAAATAATCTCTTTCTAAAATTAGGTATTTACAATTAACAACCAAATGTATTCTTATTTTACCTTCAATAATTTAATGCCCGGCTTTAGGCGTGATTTTTCTACTGGAACAGTATTATCAGTTGTTACTGATGAGTAGACAGCACCTTATACAGATGCATGGCTCTACGAAACTACAGAGACATAGATAGGGCTGGACACTATATCCATCTACACAACCAGAGGATGTTCACAAGGAGGAATTATATCCTGACTAATGTGGAGCCTAACCGTAAGCGAACTTCTTTGCAAATTGACTGACCTCTCAGCATACCCTGTCAACATTATGCCACGACATAGTCATATTTTCTAGAGGAAAGTTTAAAATTATCTTGCGTCATAGAGTCAAAAGTGGACTCGAATAGACCTGAAGATGGTGTCGCAAGGTGTGACTTAGTATAAACTCCATCAAAATAACACTAGCAATCTTTTAAAGGAAAAGAGAACTGAATCTCAAAACCGTCAAAATTAGACGGAATAGATATAGAATGGAAAAAGTGCCGTATGCTTTGATTTATTTATTTTATTTTAATTCAATTATAGTTTATTTAGTTTTTCTCTTACTCAATTAAAAAATATTTTTGATGTGCACGTGGACTATAAATTACTATTTTACATTGAAAAAAATTATACCCATCAGTATTAACAAATAAACTGAAAATAAAAAAGAAATGTTTAGAAATTGGAATCGCTTGACTTTTTCGACCGGGGTCGTAAAAGTGTTTCAAAGCAGTTCATTTGAAGTTCTATTTTTTGATTGTTTTTTGTCCGAAGAAAGTCCTTTTTGACACATTCGAATAAGAACTACCATAACAACTACGTTTAGATGCCAATTCGCAAAAAAAAAGAACTACCTTGTTGTCATATTGTGTTTATGTGTATGTCTATTTTATTGTACTTACCTAGCAACAGCTTCGCTGTACACGAATCCAGCAGACGCTCGTCGCACGATTTCATAGCACAGATCGGAGCCGCCCATGCTGAAACAGAAATATTTGCTCTCAATTTAAAGAAACGTTTCCTGTGTTCTGTGAAAAATTCTCGCTCCGCCAATTTCCAATAGAGATATTTTATATACATAGTTTTTCTTTTACCTTTAGAGACTTCAATCATTTCTGTACATATGAATTTTATCGGTACGAGGAGGCAACGGAACAATTTTGCTGACCATATAAGTAGGGTTGCTAACATTGTGCTGATATTGTCGCAGAGAAAAATAATTTTGTTGTGGAAAAAAAGGAGAGCATTTAGTAGCCATATAAAATATAGTATATTACATTACGAAAAAGTGATATTTTTCACACGAGCGGGAGATATTGTCGCACAAGGCATACCTATGCCGACACTGGCGTAAAAAATCATTTTCACACAAGTGATGTACAATATTTTTCCTAAGACAACAAAATATTATAATCAAAGAAAATGTAAAACCAGGAAATATGACTATAAAGGTTTAATCAAAATTTGGCTGCTTTTTATTATGCCTTTTTGAATAATTTTTAAGTTGTTTTAGATATTGTGTTTTGTCGAAATTAAAAACGTGATTTCATTTACAAACACTTCAGTAAGATAATAACCGTAAACTAATATTAGGTATAAAAAAATAATAGAATACAATAATATTTTTCAATAGTTCATTTTTTAAACTCAACAAATAATAAGATGAACAACCGTGAACAAGAACTCTTTTTATTATTAAAGACGATTACCTTCTTAACTACTTTAAATTTGTTTCTGAACATTAATCAAAATAGTATAAAATAAATAGCCAAAAGATTAACTGTTACATTAAGATAAATAAAATGTACCTATTTAAAATAAATAAAAAACAATAGTCGTATTTTATTCAATTTTCATATATTAAAAAAAAGAGATTGCTTTTATCGGGGGGTATTGAACTTACGTCGGGATCTGGTCGAAACATGCAAAGTTGATAAAGTTGAGCGCTCTGTGAACTGAGCTAACAAGATTATCACATGAATTATCTAATCAAATATATTAACAAAAAGAATCTGAAAATATTTTTACTTATTTGTTAAAAAGAAATATCTAGAATCGAGGTATAAAAATCAATATTGACAATTTAATCATAAAATCTATTTTATTAAAAATATGGACATTACGTATGACAATAGAAATTACGCGTTTGACATATTTGACAGACGTGCGAAAAGTAGATATTTACGCACGGATGGAAAGTAGATTCTTATCCACACGCGTGTGATATAAGGCATTTTCTGTAAGACTAAATAGTGCGATATGTTTCACTTTCCTAAGTGGTCGTAGGAAAAATCACGGAAAACATCCTGGAAAATAAATCCTCGGAAAAAATGCCTCTGTTAAAAAAAACAGTTAAAAGAAATTTTAAAAAATAAGCATCAACGTTTTTAGATAAAGATATTTATTCTTAAAACAAAATTATAGATATCACAAATAAAAGTGAAGTGAGAAAATCAGTTGAGATCCGAAAACTGAAATTTAATTTTTGGAAATATGAAAATGTATAATCCCCAATTCCCCCTACGAAATTATAAAAATACACTTCCACATTCCCAAAGTTATAGATGAACTGGGTATATTACCTAATCAAAAAGGTAAATCAAACAAAGGTGGTCCTTAGGATCTCACAAGAGTATTTTATTACGACCGGTTTCGAGGATCAAATCCTCATCATCAGGTAAGGTCCGTAATTACTCATCTATTTAAGACTAAGCTAGTAGAATTATCCCAGGGTCGGTGTAAAAACAAGTATGCGAGTATTTTTTAAAATACAAAAAATATTTTTTTTTATATTTTTTATATTTTTTATGTATTTTAAAAAATACTCGCATACTTGTTTTTACACCGACCCTGGGATAATTCTACTAGCTTAGTCTTAAATAGATGAGTAATTACGGACCTTACCTGATGATGAGGATTTGATCCTCGAAACCGGTCGTAATAAAATACTCTTGTGTGATCCTAAGGACCACCTTTGTTTGATTTACCTTTTTGAACTTATAACTCACACATGGCTACCACCTTCAACTTTAATTATTACCTAATCTTATAAGACAATCAGAGTTAATAAAGAATTAAAGGACCCGCCCTTTTTCTAATGGCAAAGTGGCGTTCCGTCAAATGTAATAAATTTTGAATATTATGTTGTACTCGACTTGTTGACCAAAAGTGTTCATTGGACCAATTTAATCCTATGACTAGTTTTTAAAATACAGGGTGTTAAAATCGTGAAATCGTATTTCTTGAAACTACGTAACTTAATTAAAAAGAAAAAAATAAGCATTTTTAGTTGATTGTAGCATTATTATATCCTAGTCTAATGCAAATGTACGCATAAATAGTTCAAAATGTAAACATATACAGGGTGGTACTCAGTTACATCAGGGGGAATTTTTGAAATTCTGAGAGATTCTGATATGGAATGAAAACATGATCAAAAATAAAAACTTACATAATGTTTACTGTTCTTACATTATATAAACCCATTTTACATTATATGTATACAGGGTGATTGTTAATTCATTCCACAGAAAGCCGTTTCTTAAAAAAAAAAATTACACTATGTATATTAGGAAAATTGTTATTAATATTGATTATGCATTTAATATCTAGACAACAATACTTTTTATGGAATACAGGGTGATAGACTCATTTAATTCGTTTTTGATGCAGCAATAATTAAAGAAATATTCCTTTTTCAGAATCACCCTATATTTTTAAATTCGATCCGTCAAAATATACGAACTATTTATTTTTGTTATTAGCTTTAAGCAATTAATAACTTCATATAATTTCATATTTTTAGTATGATTCGTTTTTGAGATTCCAATATATATAGTAAACCATTAAATATCGGACAATTCAGGATATTCGCACAATGGCATTTTTTTATTTGCTGAAAAATTATCGGGGGTAATACCACAAGAACTCAGATTTAGCGGAATATTTTTTGTGGTTATTTTCGAATACTTACTTTCATTGGCAATTGCCTAATTACAATTCTGAAACTGATACGACGCGCAACGCTTGATAAACGAACAATAAATGCCAGCGTTGACACGGTAACGTAATTTATCCGATATTTTTATCCACTTGAATTTCTGTTTCTTCCCATTTAGCCGATAGTAAACTACGATTTTTGTACTCACAAATGGAAATTATTATACTTACATACATGAGTGCATATGTCTGATATTTAATATGGTTCACTATATAATGGAATCTCAAAAACGGATCATACTAAAAATATAAAATTATATGAAGTTATTAATTGCTTAAAGCTTATAACAAAAATAAATAGTTCGTACATTTTGACGAATCGAATTGAAAAATATAGGGTGATTCTGAAAAAGGAATATTTCTTTAATTATTTCTGCATCAAAAACGAATTAGATGTGTCTATCACCCTGTTTTCCATAAAAAGTATTGTTTTCTAGGTAATTAATGCATAATCAATATTAATAACAAATTCCCTAACATACAGAGTGTAATTTTTTTTAAGAAACGCCTTTCTGTGGAATGAATTAACAATCACCCTGTATACATATAATGTAAAATGGGTTTATATAATGTCATAACAGTAAACATTATGTAATGGTATAAGAGACCACTGCAAATGTCGACCGTCATCTGATAACGACATGAAATATGCTCCAAAGACATGTAACAATAACATTGTACTTTACCAAATTACACCTGTGCCAATCCCTATCCTGAGCAAAGTGGTTAAAAAAAAATTATTTTATATTCAAAAAATCACATAAGACATGACAGCAACAATTCTATTTTCCCTGAAAATTACAATCCTAATTCATTGTGAACCTAGCTTTTAAACCAGAATTATTAATATTTTTACATACCTTTTAAACCATGTTTATGTGTGAAAGGAAGAAGGATGTCATTGTATAAACCATTTGCAGAAATAGTCAAGAATAATTATAAACTCTTGTCAGACAATTATTTTAAACCATAATCATAGTAGTTTTTTTTGTCGTTTCTATGGCAACCTGTAAAAATGAATCACAACAGTAGGCATACAAATAAATTTTTAAATCAGCAAAAATTGATTCATATTTTTAATGATTTTTAACTACTAATCGTGGATAGATATTTTTGTGTGATGTTAAGAGGAAGAAAATGTTTCCCTTTTGTGATATATATCAAGATATATTTGAATGTTATTTTCTGGAAAACTTTAAGGGCAAACAAAATTAGAGCTATCATGCCTTATGTGATTTTTTTAATATAAAATAATTTTTTAAGCCACTTTGCTCAGGATTGGGATTGGCACAGGTGCCATTTGGTAAAGTACAATGTTTTTCCATGCTTTTGGGGTATATTTCATTTCGTTATCAGATGACGGTAAAAATTTGCAGTGGGCTCTTGGGCTATAAGTTTTTATTTTTGACCATGTTTCCATTCCATATCAGAAATTCTCAGAATTTAAAAAATTCCCCCTGATGTAACTGAGTACCCCCCTGTATATGTTTACATTTTGAACTATTTATATGTACGCTTGCGTTAGACTAGGACATATTAATGCTACAATCAACTAAAAATGCTTATTTTTTTTTAATTAAGTTACGTAGTTTCAAGAAATAAGATTTCTTGACTTTAACACCCTGTATTTTAAAAACTAGTCATAGGATTGAATTGGTCCCATAAACACTTTTGGTCAACAAGTCGAGTACAACATCATATTTAAAATTTATTACATTTGACGGAACGCCACTTTGCCATTAGAAAAGGGCGGGGTCCTTTGTTTGTTGATGACATCTGCATTTGAAACTACAAAATCAGAAATACCGCAGGGCTCTGTCCTAGATCTCATACTCTTTCTTCTATATACGTTGGGCTTATGTGAACAACATCTCACATGTAAAATACAGTTTTTTGCTGACGATACCCAACTCCACCTTTCATTTTATTCCGATAATGCAGAGGCAGCAAGTGAAGCGGTTAATAAAGACCTAACTAGAAT